GKGGATAGAATGGCAGGCCACTGTGTCAGGGCAGACCATGTACACAAAGGTGGCAATTTTAGAGCCCAGGACAAAAATATAGTCAGATTTTTTTACCTAATCAGCACTGMGTGCAAGTTACTTCTCTGGTTAATCCTCAAGGCTCTTCAGAGCAAATTGATTTAAATGAGCCTGAAGGTGTAACAGTAGCTGCCCATTGTATGTGACATGCATTGCTAATTACTACTGATTAAAATGGTAATTACTTGTGCCTACCTCTTGGAAAACTAACCTTACCATTCACTTAAACAAAAAAAAAAAAGGGGAAAAAGGAAAAAGATATTATTATTTCCTTAGTCTCCTTGATGCAGGCTGGCTGTTCCAATGCATAGCAAATGTAGAGTTTTTAAGACAAATGATGGTTTCACTGATCTTTTAGGTCTGGGTTGCTTCTTTGCAAGCCACTGCGCTGCTCCACAGTCATCCAAAGWAAAAAGTCTTTTTTTCTGTTCCCCTGAAGCTCTATTACTAGTGGAGCTTCACTGAGGAGCTTGCCACAGCTGGAACAATTTTCTGAAGATGAAGTTAGTAATAGTGCTGCTACTAGTCCCACCTATTATGAAATRCGTGTCACTTTTTTTTTCATATAGTAGGGAATTGTAAATTAATTCTTCTGTCTCCATGGGTTTGAAATAGAAATGAAGCCTTCACAGTTCAATGAAGTGGAAAGTCTTTCATCAGAAGAAAATCAGCCAAGGAATTGGATGGCAAAGGCCTCATACATTACAAAACAGTTGTTTGCAATTAAGCCYAGGAGTGAGATGTGCATGATTCTGTCATGTTTCTTTCTGTCTATTTTATCAGCCTGAGGCATAACATCAGATGGCTTGAAGTAGCATTGTTTCCTTGTCATATCCTATGTTTTGRTGTATATTATGTGTACTGTATATGTACTGTATCAAAGCACTGCAATCTGTTCAAAATACAGATACTTCATATCCTGATCAATAATCAGGACACTTTCACAGAAGCATTAGCATTCTAAAACAGTGACCACTGCTGCTGAGGGGAGATTATTTTGGAATTTGTTAGGGAATCATGTAGGAATCACGAGGACATCGGCAGAGTTAAATTCCTTGTACCACAACCTTTTTCTGTGGTCACAAAGACAGCTTGTGCTGATCTTTAAGAAATCTTCTATCTCACAATAAATACATTTCAGAAAGAGTGTGGTAGCTTGGTCACCACAGCTCCTAAAGTCATGCCATGCTACTGCGAGCTTTAATAAGAATCTCAGAACAGCAGGTAATCTTATTTACCATATGCTAAGCACGGTGCAGCAGATGGACGATGGCATTCTAGTCTTTTCTGCACTTGCCTTGCACTTGTCAATTCAAGCCCTGGGAAAAAGGCTGGTATCCAGATTGATAACACATGGATGTTCTCTAAGGGCTTTACTCTTTCATCAGTTCACTATTGCAGAAAGGACTGAAAAACCTTTCTCTATAAATGTAAACACAGTTAGGGGTACCTGGTTGTCCTGAAGATGGTTTATTATTTCTGTCTCAAAGTTATCAGAARGTAAATCGGTCTTTAAAGAACAGATTAGCCAGATCTCATCAGCTGGTAAGCAGAGAGCTATGGAATATCACATGTAAAGTATCTCCTCAAAGAAACTCATAAACAAAGGAAAAATCAATTTATAGGTAGTCATGATGGTTAGCGTGGGMATATCCCTATTTCACTAACATGCATGAGCCTTCAGTAACAAAATTAAGTCTTTATAATGCAATCTGAGAAGMAATGGATCCATATTATTAAGTTTTAATTTTTTTTCTCTGTGAACTAAATTTTACATGATAGACTCTAAATTAAATAGAAAACTAAATGCAATATATCCAAGTAACCAGTTGGTGTCTTGGAATTGTTGGGTACAATAACAAAAAATGTCYGAGATTACTATTAAAATCACTTTTAATCATTTACCTGAAGTTTTCTCTGCAAACAAGCTCTTTCAAAAGTAAAATTTATCATTATTTATTTTGCTTCTACAGTCTTTTTTAAGTCTGAGAACCAAGCCTGCTCAGGAATCTTCAATAAGAATAAACTAGTGTGGCAAGTATTTTTTCAATTAATTAGACAATCTGCAACATTTTTAAAGTGAGTTAGGAAGCAATAAAACTTCTTTTACCATATCATTATATCAAAGATACCACTCGCTGTAACATCCAGCTCCTGATCACTTCTTCATGAAGAAGGATCCTTTGTGAACTTTCTGCTCTCTGTAGTCTTCTCAGTCTGTACTAAAACTAGCAGCAGTGATCTGGAGGACTGCCATTAACAAAAAATCTCTCTTACCAGAGGGTTCCAGTGAGCTGAACAAGTTTCTAGCATGAGTTAGATCAGCTACTATGGGAGTAAATATGTGCCCTGTAGTGCTTCTGCAGCTTGGGTTTGAACAGTGGCTGGACTGCCTTGTGCTTCCAGCTTCCTCTGTGCTCTGTATAGCACTGAACCAATGGGCTGTACCAAATAAGAACTAAATGGCACAGAAAGATCTTCACAGGGCCACTGCACAGTTGATGTTGGAAGGAAAATCAACCCCCTTGCTCAAGCAGAGACACCCAGAGMCAGTTGCCCAGGATTGTGTGCAGATGGCTTTTSAATATTTCCAATGTTGGAAAATCTGCAACCTCTCCAGGCAACCCATGCCAGTGCTTAGTCACCTGCATTGTAAAAAAAGTGTTTCTTCTCAATGTTCAGATGGTGCACCTGTGTTTTCAACTTGTGGCCATTGTCTTTTAAATGTCTTGGATAATTATAATGAAATATATTGCTAAAAATATATTGCCTCTCTCATTTTCTTAGACATTGTGGGGAAAAAAAACGAAAAATCTATTAAAATAGGGTAAATGAATTTCCAGCATATCTATTCTGCTTTCCTGAAGAAAATGCAGTATAGTGGGTTAACGGTAAATGAATCTCTGATCTCCTCATGTCAGTCCTTTTTTACCTATACACTAATTTCTGAAAATGCAATTTCAAATTAATCTCCAATAATCCTTTATGCTGCAAATTGTTGGTCTATGTAGTTTAAATAGCAGCTGGAACAATCTGACAAAAACGTACAGAAATATTAGCTGTTTTAATCCAAACATTTACCAGAGCTGTGAGCCTGCAATTTCAGAGTACAGAAAATAGGAAAGGTGCAATGTCTTTAGAGAACTTAAATGCCACAAGCTAACAGCTACAACTTGATATAGCTGTGCCTCACTCTACAATCATAATCTCAAACTAAGAATGGTCTTCCCAGTCTGAACACTCATGATCAATTTAAATAGRAATGATTCACTCAGAATCTGGGAAGCAAAGCAAAGAAGTTTAAGGGAACTATTCCAAAATTTCTCTTGAAGAGGTAAATACCATAAGGTCAGGTCTTCACAAACTGGTTATGAACACTGAAGAAAAACCCCCATTAACCTAGGAGCATGCTTTGGGTGATGCGTTGTATCTGTGTATTGTGAATCAGTTTTGAAATTTTTCTTCACTGGGTTAAACTTGATGACATTGCATTGAAGGCTCAGTGAAAGTGAACCAGTCTCCCACTCTTTTTATCTTCTTAATATACATTAAAATGCCTTTGAACCCTCTTTGCTCCCCCGCTGTTCCTGACTATTCTGCACATTTTTACAGTCAGATTTGTCTAAGATATAGCCTAAATTTATCCACATCTCTCCAAAATTGCAAATGATAAACTGGAGTTAAGCCAGCTGACTTTAACAGGAATGTGCGTAGTCGTGCCTGGTAAATCACAGTCTCWGTGACACTTCTGATCAATGCAGAAAGATATTCATTTCAAATGCATATCTTGTGCTTGGAGGTAACTTTGACCTAAGATTTGTCCCTTTGATCTTTGATTTGTCCCTTTTATTGAAAATACATCTAGCCTTTAGTCAGTTTGTAGCCAGGATTATATGAAGTAACAACCAAAGTATCACCCAAAGCTGCCTGGAATCTCTCTGCCCACCTGAAGATCATGAAAAGGYTAAATTGGATAAAAACTCCCTGTTGTACACTATTAGATAAGTTAAATATCTCTGTCTTTTTGTCAGGAAGTGGGCAAGATAAATGGCTCTCACACAGGAAAACAGTGAGTTGTACTGTAGGTGCTGCAGAGAATTTCACATATGCTCTGCCGTGTTGTGYTGGCACGGCTCCGGTGCAGCACGAAGAAAGGGCACATTGCTCACAGTGCAAGCACACATGATTAAAGATACAGCACGACAAGCAGCAATCTCTCACAAGAGTTTTAAAAACCACTTATTTAGAAAAACCAATGCTTCCAAATCGCTGAACAAAATAAACAGCCCACAGGGAACACTTGATCTTATTATAATATAAACTACCAGCCACTCTGCTACTGTAGCCCAGAATATTTAGATGTTCTGGACACCTTCCAAAATTTGTGTCCCCATCAATTTTTAYATGGTTGGGATTATTTTTACTTTCTATTTTTTTTTCTTGTTTTAAAATACTTTTTAATTTGCTGTAATTATTTTTTTTCTTATGAATCTTTAAGAGCCACACAATGTATAATGCATGAAAATATTAATTTCCTGAACCAATTGCTTGTCACTTATTGAATGGAAACACGAGCTATATGTTTATCCCAGTAATAACAATACTGTGCTTGTTTTTTTGGAACAGGTGTATGCATTACCAGATGTAAGCAAAGATGTCATAACTGTTTTCCTTGACTTCTGAAACATCACCAGCTTTTGGTGATGAAATCTCATAACATTTCTTCTAATTTTGTTTGTCTGACTGTTATTTTGGTTTTAATGAGGGCTCTGCTTTTTTTTATATGCCTGGTTACAACAGCCTTTTACAGTCATGCTGTACACACATTAGTCCCACACGTTACTGCAACTCAATCAATTTTAGCAAAGTGCCACAACAAAACAGCAACTTTGAGGCGAGTGTCAGATTCCTAGATGGATGAGCTTTTTAATAAACTCTGCTTTATCATTTTTCAGTATCAGTTTTCTCAACTGTCTAGAAACCCAGCTTACCTGTGCAAATTTCTCTCACACACACATATGATCTCTCTAAGCTAAGGGACCACACTGACGTACATCAAGCAAATGTGAAAAGCCATTGCACATATAGGTAATTTTAATCCATTCCATTTTTAAATACCACAATAAATTTAATTTTCACAATAAATTAAATAGCCATATTCAGTTTACAAAATAGAATTACTTAGTGTGAAACCAGTATTTACAAACATTGTACACTATGTACATCATGTTTAGCTTTGTCGACACACGAGTATAGAAGAAAAAATTATTTGACCTTTTCTTGACACATGATTGACATGCTACAAGTGACACTATGGTCCATACAATAAAACAATAGTGCAAACTCACCACAGGAACTCTAAAACAATGTAGTTTGTATGAGATAAGATATTCATTTAAAATAATAAGAAAATAGTACTATTCACTCYCATTGTAAAAATTCAGCACTGTGTTTAAAGTGTCAGTATTCCTTTAGCAATACACATACTAAGAATAGCCTCAAGATTATGCTTTCTCACAGCTTTACAGACTTTTGACAAGAATTTTTATGGCATAAACTATGTTCTGYTTAGATCAATAAGTATGTCACATAAACACTTCACTAAGCAAGAGGAACACTGACCCTTTTAACAGTGTCTGACTTTGTTTCCCTAAATACCTCCTTTCCCTTTATTATTATATCTTAAAAGATGCAACTATATTGACAGTAAATTTATGTTAGTTACTACTCTGTAGAAAAAATCGATCCCACCGTATATTTGGTCACACACTGCATTATGTACACGTATGCATGAAAAAAGTTACTTTGCTAGCCATGTCTATGAAAAGTGCATATTTCAGCAGAGACATCTATTGCATGCCTCAGGAACAACAGAAAGTGTTGTATGAAGTTTAGTTTAGGGCCAGTTAAATGTCCTCCCCGTGATCTGGTAAAATTTTTGATTAAAAGGATGGAAGAACTTGCGCAATTTGGTAATGACAGAAGTATCCACCTCGGGATGGATGCGTCCCTTGCTACCCGCCAGGCACTTGTTAAAGACAATGTTAAATCGCAAGCAGTAAAACCCTCTGGTGGCATTGAAGTACAAATTGTACTGACTTATCCTCGGAGGAAGATTTAGGAACTTCTCAACCAGCTGGAGTTCTGGCAGAGGTTCTGTGATGAGCCTGTCTCCATCCACGATATGAAACTGCTCAATTGGGAAGTACTTTAACCACCTCTCCAGGTGTTTTGTGTAGATGCTGGTTCTCACTGCCTTATATTTAGTGTTYACTTCGCAGGTATTAGGATCAATGGCCAGCTTCTCAAATTTGTAGTAAGTCTTGTTCTTTCTTTCCTTGCCTTCCAGCACCTGAGTGTAATCAGAAATAGCTCTTGTGGTAGGTTCCCTGACAATGATCAATAATTTGATAGATGAGTTCATTTTGTAAATCCTTTCAGGTACTTCCTCAGTGATAAAATACGCGGGGCTTTTCTCAATTGTTATTTGATGAGGGTAAGAAAAAGGCATTTTTTTCCGGTACCACTCAATTCCCTTGGCATAGTTTTCATCATTGTCAAAGAAGTGAATCTCTTGAGAAGCTTTGACCACTGCAGGGTGAAGGTTCAGCATCTCCAGTAGTGCTCGGGTGCCTCCTTTCCGCACCCCAATGATAATGGCCTTGGGAAGCTGCTGAACCAGATTGTGCAGTCGAATTTGTTCCTTGGTGGCATTGCCCTTTCGAAATTCATGGAGCAGACCTCTCTTGAACTGCAGGGCTCGCAGTGGGATTTCGTCCTGGTTGCGGGGTCCAAAACGACCATCAATGGGGCAGAGGGGCTGCAGTCTGCAAGATAAATAAGAGGATATCTCTCAAGACAAGTTGTATTTATAAGGRAATCATGCCCTTGGAAACCTTTTTGAATGTAATGTGATGTCTCTTTCTTCCAACTTTTGTTTTATTCTGCCAGTGGTGAAATAATTTGCAATTTTTTTATTACTTAATCTGGTATTTTGCTCTGATTTCACTGGGTAATTCCTAACCACACCTCCCTGCTCTTTGCCAGCATAGGAACTATGTTTACTGTTCTTGGGTCTTCTTGAACCTCACCTAAACTTCCACATTCTTCATGGGTTTGACARTATTTAAAGCATTTTAAGATGAATTATATTTGGTCATTTTGATCTGAAAATCCAGTTCATTTAGCAATCTCTTTCCCACTCTTTTTCTATTCTAGGCTGAAGTCTTTTCTGTCCTTTCCATTGCATTGGTCCAGAGCTGGCTTTTTTAGCAAAGGATCAAAAAGGATGAAAACCAGCTTTCTAGCCACCACCTTTCAATATTTCTCCTCTCCTTTAAAATACATCCAGTGTTTCCTCTGCTAGTCTGAACCAGAAAGTCCAAGGTTGTGATTCAGATAAGATTAGCAAGATACACAACGAATGGCAAGAAGAATTTAAAAAAAATACATTTATTGTATATTACATCAATGATTTTCTTATAATCACTTTTGTATCCTCCCACTGGACCTTATTTTGTGCCTTTTTATTTCTTCTTTTGCAACTGCAATTTTGTGCTATTCTTTTATATTCAGATCCAATTATTTCCCCTCTTTCCACTTCTCTAATTCTTCATTCGTATATCTGATGCCAGTAGATCCAAGAAGTAGTTCAGTAAGAAAAACATTAAAACTTTGCYACTACAGAAACTTGAATAAACTCTCATCTCTACTCTCAAATCAATGCTATGGACATTATACAGGCCACTATTTCCCTGAAGATTAAACTGGTGTGTAGAGCGAGCTTCCAAGRTCCTACAAAAATATTATTATTAACTTTGTGGAGCCATGCTCTCCAAAATTAAGGATATGCAAGAACAAAGGTTGCCTAGGCAATTTTAGTGTGAGCTTGCTGTGCACATATATTATGATCCAGTTCTTAAATTACATGACCGCATGCTATTATTTTTCACAGGACCCCTGCCTTAGCCAGCATAGCAGATGGGCAATGCTCATTAATAGCTGTTTGGGTATTCAATATTTATTCTAGTTTCTCAGCATGTGGGCCYTCACTCATTTACTATATATTATTCAAACCCTGTTTTCAGGACATAATTATTTATTTCTTTGCAGCTTTTCCATCCATCACTGCTTGTTGGGGTCTCTAATTTGACACTGATGCTAGGACAATGGATAGTTGGGACACAGTTAGTTTGATCCCCATGGCTGACCTGCTAGCTGTTTCCTTGATTATCCAGATGCTGAGAGATATAGCCTGTCCAGACAGAGCTGGAGAAACAATCCATATGACATTGCTGGGTTCACAGGAGCTCTAGCTAAGTCCTGCAGACTAATTAGAAACTGTGAGGAGAAGTGAGTTCCTGTTGTTCCTTTCTCAGATTCCTAGATTTTTCTATCCTTTTGCTCTGTGGCATTTACTGAATAAGCCTGACTTGGTGGCAAAGAATGAATCATTGAAATGCTGATGCAAACCTGCCCATATGGGRAAAAAAATAAGAGGAAGAAATGTCATAACAATATTATAATGTGGTTAGACTGTGGTGTGGCTGGTGAGAGTCTTAATGCATCATAAAGGTGGCAGTTAAAAGCATAAGAAACAGAAGCTGCAATTGCTGTCTCTGTTCTCTTCCCTCTCCTTCTGTGTATTTGTTATTTGTTTTCAAGCAAAGAGGATTCCACAACAGCAGTTCCAGACCCATTTCAACTAATTTTATCTCTTGCTCAAAAAGACAGCTAGCACTGCCTTCAGTGTAACACAACAGCTTGCCAAACAGGGTGGTTTCCTTTAAAAGTAAATAAATACTTAAGATATCCTCTAGCCTAAGGGAAAAGATTGGATGTTGTTAGAAGTCCTTCCTCAGCCTTAACATTTCAGGTTTTTTTCACCCTTTCCCACTGCCTCTACTCTCTCCAAACAACAAAAAAAGTAACTTTTGAAAGATCTTGGCAATGGTGGGTGAAAGGTATAGCCTTATAGTTTAATCCTAGATGTAACCGTTAACTCTTATGTTGTAACACACTAATATTCTTAATTGTCTGAGTTATTTTCCCATTAAATAATAGTTCTTTGCTAGGAAAGAGTATATGACATTTATTATATCACTGAGTTGTGCTCCCTAAACGGGCAATTTCTCGAGCTGCTACAGTAAAACTGCACAATTATTCATCTTGAGAAAATCTGCCATAAAACAATTCATCTCTAAGAACTGTATTTCTGAAAAAATTCAAAACAGCTGAAGWAGGTCTGGGCAATCTTAATGAGCTGTCTCTCCTGATCCGGAGTACTTGCTAATTTTCTTTCAATGGAGGTGTCACAGCAGCCAAATATTATAAGCCTGGTTCCAGCAGAAGTCTGTAGCATGGAAATCGTGTGTGGAGGCTCCAGGTACTGCCAGTCAGGGAGTCAGGTAACTCCAAGACTCATCCAGATATTCCCAGAATTGCCACAGAATCTATTTGAGCTTCCACATTTGAGCTGCATGAAGCAGCTCCATGCACTCAGGAGCTGAGGGAAGGTGGCYKTCCCTGGAGGGAAGTGCTCATCTTATCAGAGTTTATGACTCAATGAATCAGATAAACCAGTGGTAATTTCCCTTCGGGCCTAAGAAAACTCAAGACACAGTCATTGAAGAGCCTAATCTGAGGCTTTTAAACATGAGCCATCCCCAGGTCTCTTGTTCAAATTAGATCAGCATAAATTGAGCATAAATGAATCTGGATTTCTTCCTGAACAATTAGTTATTCCAAAGTCTATTGAAGCCACTCAGCATCCTTTTACTAATAGATTCAACAATAATGAGGCAGAAGAATGTTTCTAGTTAATTCATCTGTGTCTTGTCCTTTCTAATACTTCCTTCTCTCTCTATTTCATAACAAGTCCATACACAGAACAAACTTACAGCAGTGTGATATTCTTCACACTGGGTTATGCAAGAGAACAAAACCAAATTTTACTGCCATTGGCAACACCATGTATGAAACCAGCAGAATTCACTGCCGCAGGAGGTCAGAGAGTCAAATACTGTGGCGAGATAATTTTATGGACATCAGTAAATTCTGTAGATGTGCAAGCATTGATAATAGCAGAAGGTTAATTAGATTTCATGCCTATGAGCATAAAATATACTTTTGCAGGGACCAGTAAGGATTTTTGCCTCCATTTACAGATTCACATTACTCTCAGTGAAGTTTCTACCTCTGAAGCATCAGAGATGTTTAGGCTACCAGGGGAAAGGGGAAAGAAGATATAAGTTTTGGGGCTTGATTTGTAATGCACTTGGTCCTGGCTGAGTAAATGATCCCCTTCTTCTTTTGGAGTGGATTTGAGGAGTTGAAGAAGGCCCCCAGYGACCAGTGACAGAGCCCACCATTACCTAGCAATGGACAGCAGGAAGCTAYGTTTTCACATTCCACGCACATCACAGTCACACAGCCTCATGTTACAATTTTGAAGTCAACTAATATGTTCCATCATTTAAAAGAAGGACACTAATGTGGAACTAACTGTTGGAAAGTGATTGCAAGCTCCTGGAAAGAGTGCAGTGCTTTTTTCATTCATTTTTTTTGAAACAGCTTTTCTTCCTTTTTTTTTTTTTTTTTTTTTAACATGTTGTACTTTTGCGCAGCACCTACCACAGCAATCCCAGGCCATTTCAAAGCTGACAGAAACAGCAGTGTCAGTGTAGGTAGCACTGCTGTTGCACTGTCAAAAACCAGTCAAAACTCAGCCTGGTCAGAAGTGCCAAACACTCTTTGATTTTCTCTGCTRTATTTTCTACTACTCTCCAGGAAATCATTTGCAGAGAAAACCCACTTATTTAGCACATTCAGCTACAGAAAATACCAGCTAATTAACATAGTTAAAATTCTCAAACCCTGAAGCAATCTTTCAAATGAAATAGTATTCAAAACTTGACGAGCTGCTCTGCAGGCTCATACTTAATTTTAACTACCACTGTWGCACATTAATTGCTTACTCACAAATATAGAAAAGGAGATGTATAAATGCATCATAACTGTTTTGCTGAAACTAGAGGTCAACACACAGATGTACACAGGCAAAATGAGCTACTGTAATGACATTTTTACTGGATGCTGGTTTACTTCTTCTCTGAAAACAAGTGTCAGTGTGCTCAGAATACAAATGGACAGACAGAAAAAACTTTGACAGGGTTAACTGTGACTATTTTCCCACTCTCTTCTCCAAAGGGTAAGAATAAATAATGAAAACCACTATTAAAATATCCATTCTTTCTGTCTTTCTATACATGAGTAGACACACACACACAGAGAAAAAAAAAATAAAAAAAAAGCAAACCAAAAGACAAAGATTGAAAGAAATCAGACCCTTGAAGCAAAAGCTCAGACAATCTTAGCCCTTTCTGAATATGAGAGCAGCTACTTAATGACTTACCTATCCAAACTCCCAACTCTGGCAACTAGATATAGGAGACTTCCAATAGCAAGGCTGCCTAGCACAAAGAGCTTCTGTCTCAGCAACGCCTGCTGTTTGAATAGCATGGCCCTCCATCAATCTTCAGGACTTCTTCAGTCTGCAGAGACAAAACACACAAAACACTCACCAGAAGGCAATATGCAGGGTAATGTTTAATCAGGTGTTGCAGTTGATTAAGCCACACTTGCAAAATTTTTGCAAAACTGGAAGACAAGTAGTTAAACTGCTTTTGTCTGCTACTGGTTTTCTGTCCCACGTGGGAAGGTGTCTGKGGTAGGGTGATTATCCTGGAAGGGACAGCTCAGCTGCAGCCACCAGGGCTGTCTGACAGACACACTGTGGGGCTGGGCTGTAGAAGTYCATATTGTAATAGGATCTCTTTTTAGGTAAATATGTTTAAATTTTAAGCCTTTCAGAATCAGACAGAGCTGGATATCAGCAGAGATTTAAATGCCCTGATGTCAAGTAAGGCAGCAGTAACTGGCAYGTTCACGCTGTCTATGATTGTTGGAGAGAAATTCCAAAAAACATGTCCTGATTCATGCCAGCCTTGCCTGTCACTTTAAGACCTGATGGTACACAAACTGGCATCCCTGAAAAACGCATGCCTATATCCCCAGTTTTTAACAATATGAAAATATATATTTAAATTTATTTTTCTGATCTGCTCCTGAGACTGTCTAAACCCCATAAATGAGCATTGCTTCAAGTACTTTAGTTATGAGGCAGGCACGAGTAAAAAGACATGACCTTGTGCCAAGAGGACTCAGACAGGAGGTTCCTAGGTAAGGTAGAAGGAAGTGCTGAGTAAAATTATCTTTAGTTTGAGTTCCTCAGACATTACATTTGTATTCTGGACTGCAGACCTCTTTAGGAGACTCTGAGCTGGATTCCTGATTTATTCTTACATGAACTGAAGAAAAAGATCAGCTCCTCCTTTCAGAGCACAGTCAAAGATGACATGGTTCTTCYTTCTATATCAGTTCTGAGCCTTTGTGTAGATATACAGGAGAATTAAGTTCAAAACCGTTCACTGGCTCAAGATAAGTAAAGCCATACCATCTACCTACTAAAAGAATGTTTTCATCACCAAATGGATCCTCTTTATACAAAAATCATAAATATATGCTGCAATCACCTGAACTACTGATTTAGAGTCTCAGTCCCTATATCAGGGAATGTTTACTGGATTATGGAGTAGCTTGAAGCGAAACATTTTTTTCCAGATTTTGGCTGAACATATTTTGAACAATATTTGATGTCAAGTTTCTTATGTCTTACTACAGCAAATCTCTTTTTGCAGCTCATTTTCTTCTTTTCAATCCTTAGTATTTGCATTAAACAAGGCTGGGATAGATTGTTGTAAGTATATAACTATATACATAAGCAGAATTGCTGGTGAGAGGGTAAGGTTTTACTGGCCACTGCTAAACAGAGTCTGAAAATGTTTCTTTGTCCTGCTCATGATGTTAAATTTTTGGCCCAGAAAGCTCTCTTGAGAATCTGGGATACAGTCTGGGAGCTAATACAAGCTGGAGAGTTTTCCCAGCAGGCAGCACTCAGGTAGCCTGCCTGCCCCAGTGCTGGCTGGGTTTAAAGGTGCAGATTCAGGTCACTCCACTCTGGTTTCCTTCAAATGCTGTTGAATAGCCTTTCTGAAGCACATTTATTTTACTGCTATAGAGAAAGAATTTCTAATCTTGGCCCACCACCTCTTGTTAAAATAAAAGAGCCATGCAATGCTGAAAGTCTGAGTCTGACTTGGTCTCTAAAAACTTCCGGTGAGACAATAATAATAGTAACTCCTGATACAGCCAGGTCACAGCTCAGGATAACCTATCATACAGAATTTATCATGCAGAATACATTGCTTTTTATGTAGATAAAACYGACTCTATAATAAGAATTCTTAGATAAGATCTTTATTGCAACAAGAATAATATAAAACACAGACTAAAAGGAGTTTGCCATGTAAATACAGAGACAGAAGAAGTATTACCATCCTTTAAAAATAAATGAGGAGCAGAGGTACAGAGAGATTAAGTGATTTGCTCAAGGTCACAGAGAAAACCTTTAGTACCACTGAGATTCAGTCTGAAATAATTCCTTTCTAGTGCTTTAACTAAATGATAAACTTTTGCCTTTTTGTAATATACATTTTTTCTATAAAAACCATATATAAATACACAATTCTACATATTGAGTAAGGCAGAAAACATGCAAAGCTTAGCTATTAAAAAAAAATGCACAGATACTATAACTTTATATTGATATGTCACTGTTGATTCTTCTTTTAACTAATTAAGATATATGAAAGAGAAGGACTTGATGATGATGATGATGGTGATGATGATGATGATGATGATGATGATAAAAAAAGATGAAAGAGATGGACATGAAGATGATGAGCATAAATGTTCATACATTCTAAGTTTTAAATCTTTCAGTGCTGCTCCCTCTAAATGAAAGTTCCACTTCAGTGCTTGTCCTAGTTCTACTCAGTCTGATTTTTGTTGCTGGGGGGATGGGACCAAGAAACCACAAAGATGGCTCCTGTAAGCAAGTTCTAGAAGCTTTCTCCTTCTCCAGCAAAAGGAGCCCTACCCCCTGTCTTTTAGAGCCAATCCATTGTGGCTCTGAGGGTGATGGACAGGCTGATCATCAGGCCTGGGCCAATTGCACAGGTTGGTTACACCTCTGGGATGAGGAATGGTCTTGTACTTAAGAAGAATTTAAACGCAAGATAGGTGCGGCCACCATGTGGTTTTTAGGTTGTTAGTACTTAGTTTTAGTATCATGCACTGGGGAAAAACAGAGCAGGAGGGTGAGGAGATGTAAGAAAAAATGGAGACCCAAGATCACAGTAAGAAGAAGACGGTGCTGTGCTGTGGTGCTCGGACATGGAGAAAACAAGCTGTTCTCAAAAGCACTATTTCTTCAATGGGAGACCTGTATAGAAAAGAGAGCAACCTTGCTCTGAGAAAAACCTGGCCTTTGAGGACTTTGATAAGCCAAAAAGGGGGGAAGAGGCCTGGCTCCCCCTCATGTCTGAAGYGAGTTGATGCTTAGAAGAAATTGTGTTCTGCGAGGGAAGAGGTTCCCCCACCCCCAAACCCACGTCTGATGCAAGTGGATGCTTAGAAGAAGCTGTGTTCTGCCAGGAGATTTGAGATAGAAATAATGCCAAAATAACACAGTCAGCCTTGGAGAATGGTTTTTCCTTTCTCCCACGAGGTAAAGAAAACACTCCCTCGCCACCAGCAGTTATACACTGACTGTTTCTTGGGAAAAGAACTTCCACAGCWTGGAGCTGTAAGAATGCTTCTCCTATGATGCTGGACAACAACTGTAATGAGTTAGGCTTTCATTCCTGTCCCCTRTGTGTGTGGGAAGTCATGGGGGATGGAGAGGGACGACCTGAGAAAGAGATGGGTCCCAGAAAGGATAACAGGTGTCCTAAAATGTCCGTTTTTATTTTTCTTCTCCTTGTAAATTCTTTGTTCCCCTCCCCAGTGCAGTAGTATTCTTAGCAGTTTTTAGTAATAAATCTATTTTGCAACTTAAGTTTTTCAGCCTGTCTGATCATTTTCTGGAGCATATGCATATCTTTCTCTCAATTATGTTATCTTATCTGAAAGCCATAAATTTTCATGTTAATTGAGCTTTTGCTCTCCCTTCTGCCTCTCCGATGGGAGGGAGAGAATGTCATTGGGTGCTTTTTGGCTTTCAGCCCAGTTCAAACCATGACATTTTTTGGTGCATTGGCCAGGAAAAGAAAAAAAATGGGTTTAAATCCCCAACAGTGCTACAACAATCGGTTCTGAACTTATATCTCTGAAAACATGAACATTTGCAGCCCTCTCTACATGAAATGAAAAGTGATTTCCCTTTACACATGCTGTTGGACCCCTGTTCAGTCCTGCCTGCAAGCCTTAGTGAGGCTGTGGAGGTCATTAGGCCACAACAAAATCAAATAAATGAAAGTTGTTTCCTRAAATAGATTCCACAAAACCTCATGACCTCAATATTAATGTTTGAAGTAAGAGTCAATTAAAAAAAACAAACCAAACAAACTACAAAACAAACACAAACCAAGCAAATAAATCAACCAAAAAAAGSCCAAACCCAAACCAGTTCCAGCTCTATATTTGCATGTACTTAAGTACAGGAAACTTTTCCACAGAAGGACAAGGGTTACGCACACATTAGAAATGTAAATATAACATTTTKTATTTGTTCATTTCATTTTTGTTTTCACTTTTGGCATCTAATTTAAAAGCCATGGAAGGAGTTTTATTCCAGAGAGGTGGCCTCAATACAACTTTCCTAGATGACATTTTTTTCCTGAAAAAAGTGTAGAGAAATATCTTGACTCCAGAAAAAGCTACATCTTGCAATGGATGTACTGAGAGGACTGTGCCAGAGGAGAGGACTGAAAAAAACTTTTCTGTTTAAGACACAGAGTTAATACAACCAGAATGTGATTAAGGTGAAGGTCCCTATGGCAAAAATGTTGTAGGAGGCTAACATGGAAACACTTAAATGAAATGGAAAGAAGAAATGAAAGGGAAGAAATGAAAATTCTGGGACATATTATAAGGTGCACAAAGTTTTCTGTAAGGAACACATACTTTTAAACTTAAGAAGCTGGAAGGCAAGATAAAATGTAATCCAAAGTGACAAGATTTTTTGCAGTTATATGAGGTAAATAAGGGTGTTTTWAAAAAATTTTGCTCTCTTTTAGGGACAARAGCTGAACTGGCACAAAAGCTGCTGACCAGTAGAAGGAGGGTTGGGGCAGAGCTGCAGGCAGAACTTTCCCAGCAGCTGAATGCTGAATGTAGAATCTCCCAAAAAAGAGGTGACAGCACACTGTTGYGCAGCTCCAGTGGGCTTACATCAGAAATACCTGTCTTGGACAATTTAATAATTAATAATTAATAATTAAATATGCATAGAAAGATGTTTGTTCCTGGCTWCCCAAGAGAGTCACAATACACAAAGAGCAACACAAAGAGCTGAATGCATGATTTCTAGAAATGGCAGTGTGTGCTAAAGAAAAGTAATTTTYAAATTAAATGTAAATGAAATGTAAAA